ATCCTCCTCCCTTACCTCTTCAATGAAAATCCCATAGGCCTCTTCATTATGGACTTGGTATGTGTATGAAAACCATTATCAAAATAGTTTTTTCCATTCACATTTACCACAAAAACTAAGATATGAATACTGTTGTGTGCATGTTTTGTTAAACATCTGTATAATTACTATTTTTTGGATTCACAGACTTCACCCTCCCTACACCTCTGATGAATATAACAGGAAACCTCTTCGATCACCATATACTGCAAAATCATTATGACTATGGATACGAAGAACATCAGCACATTAACATCAACATGCCAGAGGATATTACCATTGGACTTGGTGCTCTGCTGGGAGTTTACCTTATATTTTGATTTTTTAATTCTGCTTTGCCACTAAAATCATAATAAACACTGACAACTAAAATATTGTGTTATTGTTAGGCGTATTACTACTACTACTAATAATAGGGGAGGGGGGAGTCTTTCAAAATTAACCCCAAAAGGTTCTTCAAAATATTATTTGAGGATCCATTAAAACCCTTTTAAAGGGTTCTTCGAAGAATTTATAGGGGTTCCCCCACAGTTTCAATATGAAGATCTCCTAAAGGATCCTCCATGAACCTTTACTTTTTAGAGTGTAAGTCAAAATGTTGTCCTATTCAAAGACATGCAATTTTGACAAGCCGTAAACCTAAGTTTCTTGTCTGGATCATCCTCCTTTCACGAAATGTTATGCAAATACACATATGATATTTTATAATTAGGCTTCATGAGAATTACTTTCCATATAAGTCAACCATATGGCATCAGACAAGCAAATGTAGGCCTGCTCGTTAGAATGAATCTATTATTTCGCATGTTTCTATTATTCTTGAATATAAGATAATCTATTTTTGAATAATATTATTCGGTTGCATCTATTGTTACCCCACCTGGAAAGGGTTATTTCAATACTTTATGATAATCACTTTTGCAGTTTCTATCGCATGTTTTGGTCATCATTCATAAATGATATCCCATTCATGTCAGGCCATCAGCTGTAGAAAAGGAACAAACGCCTTGAGAGGGATGTAGGGATAGCGATGGCCTGCGCTACGCTTGTGCGTCTCTCCAAAACTCACCTACAACCAGCCAAAGTAACACCTGTTTCGACAACACTGGAGTGGTATCCGATGCCATGGTCTTCCTTCAAAACTGTTGTCCAATGCTAGAAGTTGGAAAAGCGTTAAAATGTGTAAAACAGACGATAAAGCCTCACAATTGTCCTCCCTAATGTTCCACTTTAAGATCGAGACGACCCTGTCAAAGAACCATTGGGTAGTAATCCATAAGTATTTGACTCGTTCCTTTTAGCCAACTATAAAAGGCAGCTCAACTGTCGTCACGGTCACTATCACCTTGCGCAAAAAAACTCCGGAGACGTACACATGGTTCGGGTCGTCAGGAGTTCCCTTTCCGAACCTATCCGGTCAGTTGTCTTTAAGAAATAGATTCGTTATCATTTAAATAAATGCAGCTACCATCGCGGCTGGACAAGTCAAAGATTACACAGTCCATTAGACGAGTTCAAAAACCTTGCGCAAGATCAGTGTTCACTACGAGGTACTTGGCAACTCCAACCAACCATGCGCGAACGAGAAGCACTGAGCCAGAACAGAGCCTGCGCCTCCAGTGAACTGCTGGGTCTCGAGCGTAAATTCTCTTGACAGGACACCAACAGAGAGTGTGAGTGAGAGAGCCACGGGAGCCTAAGCAGAATGCAGGCTATTCTGGGGATAAGGTAGTGGGCGACTATTGTTGGAACGACTTCATTATTATGCTCAGTACTGTATAGAAAAAAACAAAGTGATCAAATGGTACCTTTTATGCATTCAAAATGAACATGTAAAAGAAAGTGATCAGTATCAGCCTGGCGTGGTTGTTGACCTGATACTATATTAGACAACACAACTACTACATAAACGGTACTTGGTATCAATCTACACTTTAGCCTACATGTTAAGAAATAGGCCTTGCCTTCACATGACAAAATTACAATTATTAAATATATATTTTTAAAGACCAATCCCACGGGTCAAATGCATTGTGGGGTTAAACCAGAGCACTTAATAACAGACAGGGTTGATAATAAAGCTTGATGAAGCTGCAGTCCAACATCACCTAATGTTGCCATCTAGTGTTAGAATGTTAACACAGAATTACAGCTCCTGCAGTACCAAGAAATAGTTCCAATTGATGCTGATGGACATATGATTCACATTTCTTTCACTTGTAGTAGTAGAGACCCAGATATATTAAAATGGAATAATTCAAACTTTTTACATTTTTATTATACTTTTTTACTTGAAGAATTTACTACATTGTACAAAATTGCTACTGGCATAATAGTCTACATATCCTTCAAGAGTAATGATGATCAATGTACATACATGATACAAATTGGTGTGGTGACAATATCTAGAGCAGTTTTTACATCTAAAATACACTTAAATACAGTGTGAATGAGGGTGCTCTTAAAAAAAGAGGAATAAATTAACGTAAGAGCTACAGCAAAATTGCACTTACATGGTGAAGTATAATTTCTAACAGCAGAGATTTTTTTTATATAGTTAACTAAGAAAAGTTTCATCTCAGATAGAGCCTAAAAAAAAGCTACACTGTTCTTGCCAGGCAAATCAGTTTAGATAATTCATGATACAGCAAATAGAGAGAAAGAGAGAATATTACAAAGCTTAGCTGAGTGGTTCTTTTAAGTATTCCAGCGAAAACTTAATCAAGAAGAAACCATCAATATTTTATCTGGAACTTCACAAAAATAAAATAAATGTGATGTTTACCACTTTTCCATTGAGATGGGTGTTGTTCATAGCTCACAGTTCACTTGTTCTAATTAGCAGTATTTAAAATAATTACTTCTGCTTTTACCTCTACTGCACAGTCTCACAAAATAGCTACTTCTGATCTACCGCCCACAGAGGCAACATATAAAATGTCTGATATCTGAAATACATTTTCTTATGGGAGTCAATAATACAGTTGACTGACTCATTCGTACCACCAGAGATCCTAGATGTGATCGGCTAAGTCTGGAGAAGAACCAATGGAGCGCCGGTTTGTGATAGGCCTATTTCCCGTGTCAGCCTATGAGAGTCATTGATGACCACAGCCAGAAACGGTGTCAAGATTACATGATGAGAAATGACCATCACATACAGTATACAGTGGGCTTACAGTAACTAACATGAAAAACAAAAGTACAGTATAGGCCTTGACACAGCAGTAATAGTAGAAGTATTAGTAGTATTTCCTTATTGTATAAAGATACACAAATCAAAATTTCACAGTCAGCTAGCTAAATAAGGCAAGTCGTAGCTACAGTGTTTTTATATGGATACAGAATAATGTTTTAGATATGACTTGTTCATGGCTCAATTCATTCCTGCATGCTACAGCTTGCCGTTGTCATCCTCAGATGATTTGAGTCATAAATCTGGATAAAAAAATTCGAGTGAAAGCCAGGTCCTAACTGAACACTAAATGCTGGCGCTTGATCAATTCAACTCACTTAAAAATGCAAAGGGAAAAAAGAACAGGACAAATCGTAAAATGTCATTAGATAGTCATTGCCTATCCTATAAAAGAGTCCAGGTCCAGTGCTCCAATTTAATCCAGTGGTTTGAGGTACAGAGATGAGGCTAGGTTCTTTGAGACAGTGGTTCTTCCTCCAGGTAGGCAGCCTCAGGTTGACAGATCATCTACCTGAATGGGCTGTGTGGAGATGGTGTTCTGAACACAGGAATGTACCCAATGCCAAAGGATGTCAAATAATTGTCTCAAAGAGTCCAGTCAGACATAGTCATCTTTGCTTTGTCCTTTGATGTCCTCCTCATTAGCTCTTAGCATTTATTGCAGTCCCTTCCTGCTTTAAAACATATCTAAAAGAACTGTGTGTGCACTGTGTAGATAATTAGGAATGCTTATGAGAGGACCAGTGACACACAATTGTAGTACTAAAATTCTGAAGAAAAAAAAGATAATAAATACTTCTCCAAACTGGAATGTAGTGAGAGAAGGAAATCCAATAATCCAATCTCATGATTGCAGCTGGTTTGGGAATGCCATAGGAGTTGCTGGTTGTCACTAGGGCAGGAACTTTCCCCAGTTTTGGAAATGCAGTAAAATATGAATCTTGTGTTCAGGGTGGGAAGTAGCCCCCTAGTTTGGGAATCCCAGGAATAGGACATACTTGTTGTGAGCAGGGTATAAGCTAGAACCCCGGTTTCCTCTCAGAGCTCAGTGGTCAACAGACCCTTGGGCTTTGTGCAGTCCTTCTTGGGTGGCTGGGCCGCAATGCTGGTGAGAGGAGAACACAACAAAATGAAAAGCCTGGTCCTCCTACCTTTCAGTGTGCACAACATACGGTAATGTATAATAGTAATATTGTATTGCTAACCAGTATAATGTGATGCAAGAGAACACAATGTAATGAGAAACCAAAATGAGAACGTGCATATCCATCATCCTATGCATATTGTTTCAGGAGACCTGTCTGCAGCAGAAATCATACCATTTACTTGATGCGAGCGCTGCTTTTATGTAATTGTAAAATGAGAAACCCTACTAATGAGAAAGCCTACTACCTTCTAGAGTTCACAACATTAACCCTAACTAACAGATTTTATTCAGCAGTATAACCAAACTGTACAACTTCTGCAGAGATGTAGTGTAAAATGAAAAATCGAGCTCCAGCCTACACCATGCTATTATTACAAGATATGGAAGCTCATCAGGAACATAGTTAAGTCAATGGGGATGTTAATCACTACAAGCTTCAATTAATAACAAGAAGGGGAATTATATGGTCTACTCTCTACACAACATACTAAACATAGCATATGACATGGTGCCAAAAGCACATAGCAACTAAGACTTGCTACCATGACCACAATGGCCAGATGAGATGATCAAAAGAGCAGTAGGTCAAGGCAGTGATGATGATGTGTCATGACTGATTTACCTTGTGGCAATCACATTGTGAGTTTGAGAGAAGAGATGGGGGTGCAGAGCTGGGGCAAGAGCCCCCCCTTCAGGTTGGAGAGGGGTGGCAGTCTTTGCAGAAGGGTCAAGGAGGCCGTTAGTAAAGATGGCAGTGGGCGGCTGCATTAGAATGGGAGGAGAAGGAAAGTGGACTGGGTCAGTCTCTACATGATGTAACTACATGAGGGATGGACTATGGACAGACTGACATAGACTGTCTAGAGACAGACTAAAAGAGACTTAGGCCCAGAGGACAGTCCATCATGGACAAACAGGCAGACTAAAGACAGACAGGAGCACTAAAGCCCAGAGGACACCAGTACTCACTGCAGCAGCAGGGACGATCCAGCGAGGTGATATCATGGGCTTAGGTTGCACTGGTGGTGGTGGTGGTAACTACAAGAGATTCACATTCAAGAGTTACACTCAAAGCATCACATCTGTCAACATACTGTAGGCCTATTGTGATAGACATTTTAAGTCTAGGACACTGGTTTATTATTAAGCCTTGACTGTTGTGGACAACAGCATTCAGCTACAGTAGCTAAAACACGAGACAGTGAGGGTTATTTTATGGCAGATGGGGGTCTAGAGACTTACTACTGGGGTTGGGTCTGAGAAATCTATCAGGTTATCGCTCAGCGGGGCCAGCAGCAGCGGCAGGGTGGGCATCTCCAGCTCCTCAGGTTTGGCCTGCGTAGCGACAAGCCAACAGCTTACACATACACACAAATGGCATACAATTCTTTCTGTGCATTCAGATGTATTTTGCTATATGCAATGCAAGCGAGAAACTGGTAAAGAAAAACACAGCTTAAATTGGATACCTTTGCTGTCAGTCCTTCATTAAGTATTTCAGCAGCCATCATGGGTGCTAACGGCATGAGATCCTCAGCCAACATCTCAACACTGAAGAGAACAGAGGGACAAGACAGAGGACAGATGGATAAGAGTTTCTTTCATTCCTTTGGGGTCTGATGAGGTCCTGAAACATTGCAAGGCTATCATGCACATTATCAATGGAAACAATACTGACATGTGCTTAATTTGCTAAGACATGGATGTAACGATTCACCAATACACATCGGTCCCCGATTAAAATCTTTAAGATAGCAGTGCATCGGTCCGTGGACCCCAAACCGATCAAAATGTAGCATGCATCTGTCAGAAAAAATAGATTCAAAACGTTACGAATCACGATTCACATTTTTTTTGCTCATATTACTTTCTTTCTACTTTCTGAAAATACATCTCATCTTTTGTGAGAACTGATGCGTCCTCTCCTTCAGTGTCGAACTAAGCATGCAACTGTGTTGACAGTCATTGATCTATACGTAATTTTGCATGCCGAACAACACCAGGCAATCAGTAGCCTACTCTAACAGCTTGACGCGCTGACCAACACGAGCTTGGTGGCCTGTTCCTGATCTTGCACGGCACATTCAACATTCAAATACTAAAATGGTTTTCGTGATATTAGGCTTTATTAGTAGAGTGACAACCTGTAATTTGCTAGGATATTGTTATCTATCTGCTGTTGAAAATTGTGTTTACCGGAATAAAAGTAAGCTACTGGAGACAACTCATCTGGCTATACCTGCTGAACGGGGCTTACAATTGATTTTGTGATTGTTCAGGTTCACCATCAGCAATAGTTTTGGTAGTTTTGCTTTAAATAGTCAGTGTATATGGTCATATGTAGATATACAGGGTCAAGTTACTAATTTCATAACGAGGACAGCAATCACATCCAAACGGTCAATACCATTCGATTTTGAGATGGGTGTGAAATCCAAAATTGTGCTATATATTCATTGGCTATGTCTAGAGTTGCAAAAGGAGGGTATATAACTGGAAACGTTCAAGGTTTACCAGTAAACTATCAGAATTTTGGTAACTTTCAAGGTTTATTTGTAAGTTTATAAAATGACATCTAGTGTCCTTTGGGTACTACAGATTATCACAGGCGTCTAATTATCTCTTGTCCTCTGTGTGGCCTTAACACATGTAAAATATATGAAATAATTAAATAACATGATTTAAAATAAAACAGAATGCCAAAGTTGTAAAACATAAATAAAAAACATCTTAGTGAATACCATTGGTAATTAATATGAGGGTTTCAGCATAAAATATCCTTATATATAAAAATATAAACACACACACACACATACAGTGGTGTGAAAAAGTGTTTGCCCCATGTGGGTTTGGATTTTGTTTCCCCTTAATAATAACAACCTTCTTTTCAAAACTGCATTTTGTGTTTACTTGTGTTATCTTTGACTAATATTTAAATTTGTTTGATGATCTGAAACATTTAAGTGTGACAAACATGCAAACAAATAAGAAATCAGGAAGGGGTCAAACACTTTCACACCACTGTATATATAAAACACACACACACATATATATATATATATACACACAGTGGGGGAAAAAAGTATTTAGTCAGCCACCAATTGTGCAAGTTCTCCCACTTAAAAAGATGAGAGGCCTGTAATTGTCATCATAGGTACACGTCAACTATGACAGACAAATTGAGATTTGTTTTCTCCAGAAAATCACATTGTAGGATTTTTAATGAATTTATTTGCAAATTATGGTGGAAAATAAGTATTTGGTCACCTACAAACAAGCAAGATTTCTGGCTCTCACAGACCTGTAACTTATTCTTTAAGAGGCTCCTCTGTCCTCCACTCGTTACCTGTATTAATGGCACCTGTTTGAACTTGTTATCAGTATAAAAGACCTGTCCACAACCTCAAACAGTCACACTCCAAACTCCACTATGGCCAAGACCAAAGAGCTGTCAAAGGACACCAGAAACAAAATTGTAGACCTGCACCAGGCTGGGAAGACTGAATCTGCAATAGGTAAGCAGCTTGGTTTGAAGAAATCAACTGTGGGAGCAATTATTAGGAAATGGAAGACATACAAGACCACTGATAATCTCCCTCGATCTGGGGCTCCACGCAAGATCTCACCCCGTGGGGTCAAAATGATCACAAGAACGGTGAGCAAAAATCCCAGAACCACACGGGGGGACATAGTGAATGACCTGCAGAGAGCTGGGACCAAAGTAACAAAGCCTACCATCAGTAACACACTACGCCGCCAGGGACTCAAGTCCTGCAGTGCAAGACGTGTCCCCCTGCTTAAGCCAGTACATGTCCAGACCCGTCTGAAGGGGTGGAAACATCATGCTTTGGGGCTGTTTTTCTGCAAAGGGACCAGGACGACTGATCCGTGTAAAGGAAAGAATGAATGGGGCCATGTATCATGAGATTTTGAGTGAAAACCTCCTTCCATCAGCAAGGGCATTGAAGATGAAACGTGGCTGGGTCTTTCAGCATGACAATGATCCCAAACACACCGCCCGGGCAACGAAGGAGTGGCTTCGTAAGAAGCATTTCAAGGTCCTGGAGTGGCCTAGCCAGTCTCCAGATCTCAACCCCATAGAAAATCTTTGGAGGGAGTTGAAGGTCCGTGTTGCTCAGCGACAGCCCCAAAACATCACTGCTCTAGAGGAGATCTGCATGGAGGAATGGGCCAAAATACCAGCAACAGTGTGTGAAAACCTTGTGAAGACTTACAGAAAACGTTTGACCTGTGTCATTGCCAACAAAGGGTATATAACAAAGTATTGAGAAACTTTTGTTATTGAACAAATACTTATTTTCCACCATAATTTGCAAATAAATTCATTAAAAATCCTACAATGTGATTTTCTGGATTTTTTTTCCTCATTTTGTCTGTCATAGTTGACGTGTACCTATTATGAAAATTACAGGCCTCTCTCATCTTTTTAAGTGGGAGAACTTGCACAATTGGTGGATGACTAAATACTTTTTCCCCCCACTGTATATACACACACATATATACACACATACATACATATATACAGTGGGGAGAACAAGTATTTGATACACTGCCGATTTTGCAGGTTTTCCTACTTACAAAGCATGTAGAGGTCTGTAATTTTTATCATAGGTACACTTCAACTGTGAGAGACGGAATCTAAAACAAAAATCCAGAAAATCACATTGTATGATTTTTAAGTAACTAATTTGCATTTTATTGCATGACATAAGTATTTGATACATCAGAAAAGCAGAACTTAATATTTGGTACAGAAACCTTTGTTTGCAATTACAGAGACCATACGTTTCCTGTAGGTCTTGACCAGGTTTGCACACACTGCAGCAGGGATGTTGGCCCACTCCTCCATACAGACCTTCTCCAGATCCTTCAGGTTTCAGCTCCCTCCAAAGACTTTCAGCTCCCTCCAAAGATTTTCTATTGGGTTCAGGTCTGGAGACTGGCTAGGCCACTCCAGGACCTTGAGATGCTTCTTACGGAGCCACTCCTTAGTTGCCCTGGCTGTGTGTTTCGGGTCATTGTCATGCTGGAAGACCCAGCCACGACCCATCTTCAATGCTCTCACTGAGGGAAGGAGGTTGTTGGCCAAGATCTCGCGATACATGGCCCCATCCATCCTCCCCTCAATACGGTGCAGTCGTCCTGTCCCCTTTGCAGAAAAGCATCTCCAAAGAATGATGTTTCCACCTCCATGCTTCACGGTTGGGATGGTGTTCTTGGGGTTGTACTCATCCTTCTTCTTCCTCCAAACATGGCGAGTGGAGTTTAGACCTAAAAGCTCTATTTTTGTCTCATCAGACCACATGACCTTCTCCCATTCCTCCTCTGGATCATCCAGATGGTCATTGGCAAACTTCAGACGGGCCTGGACATGCGCTGGCTTGAGCAGGGGGACCGTGCGTGCGCTGCAGGACTTTAATCCATGACGGCGTAGTGTGTTACTAATGGTTTTCATTGAGACTGTGGTCCCAGCTCTCTTCAGGTCATTGACCAGGTCCTGCCGTGTAGTTCTGGGCTGATCCCTCACCTTCCTCATGATCATTGATGCCCCACGAGGTGAGATCTTGCATGGAGCCCCAGACCGAGGATGATTGACCGTCAACTTGAACTTCTTCAATGTTCCAATAATTGCGCCAACAGTTGTTGCCTTCTCACCAAGCTGCTTGCCTATTGTCCTGTAGCCCATCCCAGCCTTGTGCAGGTCTACAATTTTATCCCTGATGTCCTTACACAGCTCTCTGGTCTTGGCCATTGTGGAGAGGTTGGAGTCTGTTTGATTGAGTGTTTGGACAGGTGTATTTTATACAGGTAACGAGTTCAAACAGGTGCAGTTAATACAGGTAATGAGTGGAGAACAGGAGGGCTTCTTAAAGAAAAACTAACAGGTCTGTGAGAGCTGGAATTCTTACTGGTTGGTAGGTGATCAAATACTTATGTCATGCAATAAAATGCAAATGAATTACTTAAAAATCATACAATGTGATTTTCTGGATTTTTGTTTTAGATTCCGTCTCTCACAGTTGAAGTGTACCTATGATAAAAATTACAGACCTCTACATGCTTTGTAAGTAGGAAAACCTGCAAAATCGGCAGTGTATCAAATACTTGTTCTCCCCACTGTACATACACACATACATATATACACACACAGCTACGGAAATAATTAAGAGACCACTGCAAAATTATCAGTTTCTCTGGTTTTACTATTTACAGGTATTTGTTTGGGTAAAAGTAACATTTTTGTTTTATTCTATAAACTACTGACATTTCTCCCAAATTCCCCCCAAAAATATTGTCATTTAGAGCATTTATTTGCAGAAAATGACAACTGGTCAAACCTCGAATAATGCAAAGAAAATAAGTTCATGTTCATTTTTAAACAACACAATAGTAATGTTTTAACTTAGGAAGAGTTCAGAAATCAATATTTGGTGGAATAACCCTGATTTTCAATCACAGCTTTCATGCGTCTTGGCATGCTCTCCACCAGTCTTTCACATTGATGTTGGGTGACTTTATGCCACTACTG